CCCCAGAAAAAAAAAAAAAAAAAAAAAAAATCAAGGTCTACGTGGAAATATAACAGAAGGAAGGGAGGAACAAAGCAACATTTGCAGATGCCCAAGTGCATTAGGTACATCACTGGCTCTCTCACAACTCTTTAAGAAGGTGCAATAGTATCGCCTATATTACAGACAAGGAATTGAAGACTCAGGCAGGTTAAATGACATGCTTAAAGTAACCCAACTATTAAGGGACAGTCAACCCAAGGTTGCCCATAAAGTCCTTGCTCTACTGATACTTTTTAAAGAAGTGTTTTAGGGCTGGGGATTCAGCTCAGGGGCACCGCGCCTGCCTCGCAAGTGCAAGATCCTGAGTTCGATTCCCCAATACCGGAAAAAAAAAAAAAAGTTTTAACAGGCAATTAAGTGGTGGGGGGAGCTACCTACTACCTACCTAAGGATTAGCAAAGAGGAACCAAAACTACTGAAGAAGGAACTCAAGAGGTACATAACAACAGTTGGGGGGGACCAAAAAAGAAGGGACGTGTGTGGAGGGAACCCAAAAGGATGGACACGTGTGTGGAGGGAACTGGAGAAACAGGATGCAGTCAGGGACTTAGCTCTCCAGAGGGCCGCGTTCCCCCGCCCGCTCGCAGCCACCATTCACAGGAGCACGCAGGCGGCGTGCCTCAGTCGTGACACCACCCTGAGCGACCCCCATGGGCTTCCTACCTCCCTGAGGCGCGAGCTGAGAGACGCAACACTTAGCCCTCCCTGCCCGTCAAGGGCAGGCCAGTCGTCACTTCCCTGGGGCCGAACCTTAACGTCACTTCCGGGACTGGGCAATTCGTGGGCGGTTCAGATTTCCCTACCAATGAGAATGGCGGAAGAAGGCTCCGCTGAGAGGGCGGAGCCTCGGGTAGGAACCAGAACAGATGGGCGGGCCCTGAGGGGAAGGACCGGAATAGGAGTTGGGAGGAGGCGGGGCCTGCGAGGGACTTTACCTGAGGGAGGAGGGCGGGCATAAGGCGTGGGTTTGGACTTTGCAAACTGAGCTGGCGCCAACACCAGTCGACCTTGTGTCCCAACTACTCCTATAAGGAGAGGTTCCTAATTCCCCATATTTTACATGAGAAAGCTAAGTTCCTCAAAATTGTAATTCCCTTTAAAGGCAAGACACCCTTCCTAGAATTCGAGAGGCCACTTTGTGGACCTTGACTGCCAGTCACAACTGTACGATCTCAGGGTTTCTGGCAGTCAATCGGTCCCTGAGGGTTTCAGCCTCCCATTCCCGGGAGAGCGCTCATGCGCCCCTCAAGCTTTCCTCTGGAGCTGTTAGAAACTAGGTCCCGGTGAGGCTGCCTGTGAGGCTCCGGGGAAAGTGTGGTGGCCTGTGAACCTGCTTGGGCCGGAAGCCTTTCTTTCACATCCTTGCCTCGGTCGTGAACAGCAAAGTTCTAGGCATCTGCATGTCCCTCACTGGTATCTTGGCTGCTGTTTGTCCCCTCTGCATGCTGTACCTTATAGTTCAACCATTCACAGCCTCTTACAGTTCTGTGAAACATTAGTTCTATGATACATTTTCTCTGCCATTTCTTTGCTTAATTTTATTTCCCCCCTCTTCGCAGAATATCTCATCCATCTCCTCTCTGAGCATTAATTGATTCCTTTGTTTCTAGTGCTTTGTTCATAACTCTTCCTAAGGCATTGTAGTGTCTGTATCTTCCAAAAGATTGTATGCTTCCTGAGAGTAGGGATTTGCTAGTCATCACCATATGCCCAGTGCCAGCCTGGTACAGTTCCTGGCTCGCATTGGATGTTCAAAGATGCTTACTAAACTGTGCATCTTTGGACATCTCAGGGAGTACTTTATAGTCACTTGGCTTTACCAAGCCAAGAAGCTGGTAAATTGTCAGGGCCTCTTCTGCCACATCCATTTCAATCTATAGTCCAGCCAGTGGGAATCACTTTCAGAATTTGCTGAAATGTCTCTCTTGTCCCTGCAGGAGATTTGCAGTTATTGCCTCCTGTGACTGGAAGGCTTTTCGTTCTGATCGCTGCTCAAGAGAATGCTACTAGATTTATTGTCTGCTCCTTTATTCCTCACTCTACGGTCAGCCCCTGAGGGTCCATCTATTTCTGCATTGTTGATGCACCGCTGGAGGTACTCAGTGATTATTTGTTCCCATGAACAGAGGGCAGTGACCCAAATCAAATCTTCTGACTCTGAATCCCATTTTGCTCATCACATTACATGGCCCTATTATACCCTCCCCAAATCATTGCCGTGTCTTTTTCCCCTTTTTCCAGCTCATCTTGGCCACACTGTGCTTTGTCCTCTGTCCAGTTGGCAGGTCCACAGTGCCGCTCAGGCCTCTTCCTCTGGGACAGGGTGAAGAAATCCTTGGAACAGCTCTATCTACTTTGGCCAACGGCCACCATGGCAGTTTTGCAGTTAATAGAGTCCCTTGTCCACTGCAGAGAGGCACCTAAGTCAGATATAAGTAGGCATGGCCTTTCCACCTGTCTGATCGGCCTTCACCTGGGGTTAAGAGCCCATGGGGAGACTCCCCCTAAGTGCCCTGACTCCTACTAAGGTCAGCCTCCCTTACTGCAGCTGTTGCTGATAATGCCAGATGCCATCTGGCAGGGGTGCCCTTTCCTGCCCAATTTTGTATGTACTTTTCTGTGTCTAGCACGTTCTCTTTCTCAGCTTCCTATCCATTCTTTTCAGCGTTTCACAGCAGTTTCTAGAGAGCCAGTTTCCTTGCTTAATGCACACTCTGAATTCTAAAGCAGGACCAGTGCTGTTCAGCATTATTCCATAGTCATTTCTCCTCTATTGGCTTCAGGCTTCTCAACTGCCTTTCTCATAGAGGGGCTGGGAGGTTATAGGATAGAGCATGGAGGCTGGCACATTGTCAGTGCCCAGCGCCTGGTGGTGTCCCCGTCCCTCCTTCGGGGAGACAGCCTGTGAGCTCTCAGCAGGCTTCCAGGGGATTTCTCAACTACGCAGCGGCTCCTCCGTCCAGCCAGATCTGGCTTAGTCACAAGGTAGGAAACAAAGGAAGCCAGGACTGACAGCCTGGACTAAGCTTATGGGAGTGGATTTTAGGCTTTGGGATATGAGCCATTAGTGGGTTTGTGAAATTAGTTTAGTGAGTTGTGAGCAGCGAAACAAAAACAAAAACAAAAACACTAGAGCTAGGGAATGAGCTTAGTGCCACCCGCCTCAACAGTGAAAGGTCCTGAGTTCGATACCTGGTACCAAAAACAAAAACAAAAAAAGCAGAATAGAGTTGAAGATACCAGTGTGCCATACACTATAAGTGTTGCTTTGTGAAACATCTGTTGCTGTTATGTCTATATGTCTGCATGACGATGTGATGATAGTAATGTTCTTTTTCTAAAAATAGGTCACATCAAAGGGTATTGAAGAGCTGTGAAACACTTGGCAGTGTTCTAAGTACCCTATGTGTACTAACTCATTGAATCTTTCACCCCTATGAGGCTAGGACTGTTACAGCCTCCATCTTACAGATGAGGAAACAGAGGCACATACATGTCAAGTAGCTTGTTGTCCAGGTCACTCAAAGACTAGGAGGTGCCAGATGAACCCAGGGCTTCTGTGTGCTACGCAAGTGCTCTACCAGTGAGCTACACTCACAGCCCTTTTTACTTTTTATTTTGAGACAGTTTCTGTAAGTTGCCTCGGCTGGCTTTGAATTTGTGATCTTTCTGCCTTGGCCTCTGAAGCTGGGCATACAGGTTTGAGTCACCGTGCCTTGCTTAGGAGGTGGAATCCTCCTTAGGAGGTGGCATCCGAAGATGCCTTACTGTCCCTAGGAGCATCTGTCCTGGCCCTAGACTGCTGACTCCCCTCCAGGCCCCCAGGATCCAGCCCGCCAGCCAGCGTAGGCTATCAGAGGATGTGTATTAGGGCTCCAGCCTGGGAGAGGACGCTGGTTGGAGCAGCGGCTATAAGCAGAGGAGCCCACAGGATGGCAGTGTGGTTCTCCCAGCCCGGTTCTGCACTGAGCTGGCCAGGGGCCCCCGGGGCGCAGGCTACCCCAGCTCTGCAGGGCTGGATGGCAGCGGACAGGGCCACAGGACAGTTGCAGCTCAGTGGTCCTGTGTGGGAGGGTATCACGATGATGTGGAAAAAGACAGGGTGGAGGGCTATGCCTTAAGGGAGAGCTCCTTTGTTTTCAGTTTCTATCTCGATGATAATTTTGTGATTTACTACTTTTTTTTTAAAAGCTTTTACAGAACAGTTAGAATTGTAACTTATGTTTCACAATCCCTGAACTGGTTTTGTGTTCAGCTGTGATTCATGTTCTGTAGCATTTCCAGCTATTGTTATTGGAGGTTTTTTGGTTTTTTGCTTTTGTTGTTGTTGTTGTTGTTTTTGGTACCAGGCTTCTAAATCAGGACCTTACACCTTCAAGGCAGGAGTTGTGACACTGAGCTAAATCCCAGGCCCTGTTACTGGAGTTCTGGGGCAAAATCCTTGGCTCTGGGGTCAGAACAGACCAGGCTTGGCCACCTCTCCCATAACAACACAGAGTAGCCGTGAAAGGCAGGAACGGTGCCATAATCAGCATGATCTTGGTGGGAAGAACAGATACGGAGCCAGATACGGAGCCAGATACGGATCTGGCTTCACTGCTGGTAGAAGCTGTGGGGTTTTATAGAAAAGGGGAGCAGAGGCAAGGTTTGGGGTTTGCACAGCGGCAGTGTAGTAATCCTGGTCAAGTCAGGTGAGGTGACAGCAGCACACATCTGTGGTCCTCACTGCACACCTCACTGTCCTAGCACTTCATGTATTTCAACTCGTTTATCCTCACAGTGATTGGAGTACTATTATTAGTCCCGTTTTACAGCTAAGAGAAAGTTGGGCCGAGTGGTTCCTAGATCAGGAAGCAAACAAGTGGCAGAAGGGGGACTTGAACCCAGACAGACTGACCCCAGAAAGGGCTGGCTCGACAACTTGCTCTACCTGTCTTTAATGATCTATAAAGCAGTTAGCATTTGCAAAACTCTTTGAATAGGTGCACTTTACTGTGTCAGGTCTTATCATAGGCTTCTGCTAGGAGTACAATCTAGTCTTGTGCTGCAAGGCCCATCTCAGGTGCGCTGGAGGTTGGTGAACACGTGGTTTCTGGAGTCACATGGACCTGGACTGAACTGTGGCTGTGTCACTTACAAGCTCAGTTTTTGGTCTGTGAAATGGGGCTGGCGATATGAACCTCGTCTACTGTATATAGAGCTGAGTGACTCAGGGAGGGCAAGGGGCTTGCCAGGGACAAGTTAGAGCCCGAGGCAGGCCCACATCTGGGTCTTCCGACCTTGAATCCTGTGGTTTTCTTAGGACCTGCAAGCATGGGTATGGGGGGTACAGGTCTAAGGATGAGTGTATTTGTTGTTTAGTTTGCTGAAGTAACTGTTAAGTCTGGTGAATAAAGTGGCTTTTAGCTTCCTAAGCCCTTGCTTCTTTATTGTAAAAGTGGACTCTAATAATATGAATCTCCTAAGGGCTACTGTGAAGGGCTGAGTGGTATAATGCAAGCAAAGGGCTCTTAGATCCCAATTTTGAAATGTATTGAGGCTTGCCTAATGGCTCAGTACAGAGTTGATCAAGTGTACCATGCACACTTGAAATAACATCTATTCTGCAGTTGTTGGGGGGATCTATAATTGTCAGTTAGGTCAGGGTGGTTGATGGAGGAGTGTTTATAGATTTTCTAGCTCTTTACTGATTTTTCTCCCTAGTTGGTCTATCAACTGTTGAAAAAGGGATGATAAACTCTACCATGATTGTGAA